CTTCATTACTTACTAAAACATTTTATTGGCTAAGGAAAGAAATACGGAACGTTTTTGTCAGTCGTTCAGACTATTTACTTGAAGTAGTTCTTATTAAAAAAAATGAATTCTTTAATTTCATTCCTGACTAAGTTTATTTTCGCTTAGAAACGGTTTTCACTACTGATCAAATTAGTTGTTGAAAAAAGTATTTGGAATCTAAAACTTATTTTAATTAGCTCGATCTGACTTAATTCAACTTCGATTTGTTCTGTTGCTTTTATTGCTCTTTCTAAACAAATGGGAGACGTATTTTGACTTCACTAAACTTCATTTGCAATCAAAATATTAAACTGCAAGTGGTGGCGCTTTTTGAAATGAGCAGAAAAAAATATCGGGTATTGTAAGAAATGTTAGCTCACCATAAATAATTTTGGTATTTGTAAACTTTCCCAGTAAAGATTTTCAGCATTCTTCAACCAGCAAATTTGTTTCGTTTTCATGTTTTTGATGTTTATCAATTTTACTGGACCTTTTAAAAATCCCCTAATGTCCATAGCTCACTGGAATTGATAACTATACAATGCATAACTATACAATGCAGTTCTAAAACTAGTAGTTTATAGCTGAAACTAAACAGACTTCGCTTTTTACTTTTTTGATACAATAAAGTTTCGTATTTGTTTTCATAATGCCCAAAATTTCTCAGGCTAATTTAATCTTCAAGGCTAATTATCTGTATTTCTTAATAATCACTATAGTGTTGATATTTGCATAACAAAACTACTTTTCCATGAAGTTTACATATGTGATACCATTGAATAATCTCTGTGCTAGAGAGAATCTATTTTCAAGAATGAAAGGAATTGACAGTTTCATTTTTTTCTTGTCACTGACAGAAAACTCTTAAGCAGAAGCCAATAGAAGTTTCAATAAATCTAGGAGAGTGTGACAGGCAGTAAGAGTGCAGTAAGTCGCTTGATATCTTTTTCTGTTTTCTTATGAAAGATGAAGATGCTGAATGGCATTTTAAGACGGATTGATGAATAATTTGTTTAGGATCGATATCTTACTTTTATGTGAGACCGTTATTTGCCAATGGTTCATTTTAACCGCATTTTAGGGGATTTATTTCAAGTTTAACTCAGAACAGGAACTGGTTCATAATTTGAATTCCTACTTGTGTGTGTGTGCGTGTGTGTGTGTGTGTACGCGCTGTACGTATTATGGCCGTGTGTATTTCTGCACAATAATGGTAATGATATGCGACGGCACAATAAATGACTGCTGCGATTGCAGGTGTGCTAAAATACTGAATTATGTGAAACATTTTTTAAAACATTTCTTAGAAGTCCAAGTTTCGTTTTTCACTATAACCAAAAGGAATGCCAATCTCTCACACACCCTAAATTAATATCATTACCTTCACATACTGGCTCACTATGTCAACCGGCATTCTGCGCAGTGATACGCGCTAACCCTTAGTTTGATGCGATACTTCGAAATTGTAGCTGTTAACGCGAAACGCTGCTTACAGGAACAAGCTTGTTTTCATGACTGATTGCCTTGGTCCAGTCAACTCCGATTTTTTTTCGACACGTTTTGTTGTGATTGATGCTACACTTTACACTTTATTGATTACAACCGGTTCCAATTTTGTGGCGGTAGTTTCTTCGCTTTCCTACCATAGTGCGTGTAAAAAAGGGGAAGAACTTCGGCATCTGGAATCTATTCCATTTTTCAAAATTGGAAATCCTTAATCTTTAAAACTAACCATAAGATATTCTTCACCAGGTCTATCGACGTGTATTTTGACACTTGATGAAGCCTGACAAAGTTCAAACGGTCTAGTTCAAATTCATATTTGAATAAGCTGAGGTGCATACTTCACAGTTCGGCAGCCTCATAAAAATAACCCACTAATCCGTCGAAATACAATGAATAAAATATTGCACATTTCTTCTTCGTCTTCATCATCCAATCGAGAAACGTATTTTTTCATGTCGTAAAAATAAAGGGAATCTTTTCCTTTGCTCTATTTTTTCAAGTGCGCAGTAGCGAAATTCATTTCGGCGTAGTTCGTTGCGATAATTATATTTATCTATTCTTAAATTTATCAACATACTTTTCCAAAAACGCAACGGGTTCAATGATTCCCCTGCACACTGTATAGCAAAATGAGGAGCACATCAGATGCTTTTCTTATCATTACATCAATTTCAGCAATAGTTGTCATAAGGTATATCCTGTATTCGATTTTCTACTCCTTCTCTTCCTTTTCTTTTATCCTTACAGCCATTTTTCTTCCAATGAAACAATGCTTACATATACATCTATCAGTTTACACAAATCTTCCCTATATCCATCTTCATTCTTCCTTAGGAATTGTGATACTATAAAGGAACTATAGAGGAAGGTAATGCGTTATTAGTGATCAGTATTGGTGTGAAGCATAGACACTTTTTCTTCATTCACTTCTCGCTGAGGCTTTTATTTTTTATAAAGATATGCTGTAAGAAACTAAAATATCGTGTAAAATGTAGACTCATCTTCAAGTGCTTGCATCTGCATATTGGAATCAGCGACAACGTAACATGAATTAGTATAAACGACAGAGAAGTGGAACAAAATCATTTTAGTTACTTGGACAGGACAAGTCAATAGGACAGTGATACTGCGGGGGATATTCACTACCAGCAACTAATGTAGAAGTTTTCATAACTTTCACTTTCTTAACAGTTACTTGCAAAACATTTTGTCTTTGCATATTTGAAAATGAAAAGGGCAAATAAGAGGCACTATATCTTATGATTGAATTCATATTTGATTAAATATTCCGTTCCATATCATCCAATCGTTCAATCTCTGTTCGGTGCCACAATTTTTAGATCTCTTCCAGCAAATTATTACACCATCTCCTTTTGAACTGTACATAAATTGGAAGGCAAAACTCACTTCCATTAATGCCTAACTTTCATAACTTTGGTTTGGACCTATTGCTTACTCTTGGAATGACCTCTTCCTCACATTAGCAGTCTGACTTGAGTCCTAGCAAAGCACTTATTTTTTCTATTAATCCTGAAACCCATTAGAAAAGTCCCATGTGCAGTCAGAACAGTACAGTCGCACGCACCTACTACAAAGCGCACACACATATGAACGCCACGTTTCATTAACTGCGAAATTGCAGTGAGCACGGCAGTACGTAAAAGATGACCTGATCATTCCATACCTGTTAAATGACGATGACATATTGTGGCTTATTGACTAAGGTCGGCATGAAAAACTGTTATTCACCGAGATATATGGGATGAATCTGCAGGGCAGTTCGGTTTGGATCGGATTCACTTATCACTTGTTTTTTTGCTCTATTTAAGTAATATCGGCAATAATTAATAACCAAATTGAAATGGAGTTATGCAACAATTTTTTGCATCTTACGGTTTTGGTATAATACATTATCTTTAAGTATTGTATCCTCATCTATGGAAAACTTTCCATGGAAAGCTCAGGAGAGTGTTGAAATATGAGCAGAATAATACCCTTATCTCAACTACGTCTTTTGTTACCCAACGATAGTTGGTTTTGGCTAACAGCAGAGGACTGGAAATTCCATTAAATTTAAAAATTAGTAAACCAGAGAAATATCTAGAAGTTAAATTGCCTGCTTAATGGTTTAGCTGAATAAGTATGCTCGAAATATACATCGTTCCCGACAAAATCTTCCCTTCTTTCCCGATGCAGCAAGACAAGAATTCGAAATCGTCTCCAATACCAAGTGACGCCGGTATTTGCCCATTGCATGGTCTGAAATATAAATTTCTGGTCTGTACCCCGTGCCTGTTAATAAATAATTTGCCAGTGAAAGTGTTTGGGGATGGGGGTGGACTGCTTTTAAGGAGTGGGGAGGAGAAATGTATTATAACTGGATTGGAGATGATTCAAGGGCGTATACGCAAATAGGTAGGAGGAAGCGCTAAATATTGTAGAATACCCTGGTCGAAAGTATAAAAGGAGAAGGAAATGCGAGAACGCGTATAGACATTTGAAGGTAGGACATTCAGCATGGCATGCATTACCTTTTTTAATGATTTACTACTCGTGCACTCATTAACTATTTTAATGTTGTTGGAATGGCTGAAGTTCTGTACATAAACAAACTACAGACACATGCAAATGTACTCATCTAGTAAGATCTGAGAGTGATAGGAGAAACGTTATTCGCTTTTCGTCTTTCATTTGTCATTCCCTCCAAACAGCGTCGATTTATGAGGTCCATACTGAGCAGAAGTTGGTAGTAACGGATAGATATTGATTATATCTCGTCTGAGTGGGTGACATGGTATTGGTTATCTTAACGACAGCTTTCGTCTGTGATTGGTTTTAGCTTTTCTATCTGTAATATCTATATAATGCAAATCCTTCCAGATAAAAATGATTGCTTGAACTCTTAGTCAGCTACAGAATATTCATATTTTGGCTTGATTAAGTTCCTTTATGGCATGTTAGAAGTAGATGTTCATTTGATTGACAGGTATTGGACAGAACGAATTGGAAATTAAGATGTCTGCTTTGGTTAGACTGTTGTTGGATATAAAGTTCACATCTCGTGCTCAGATTGTTCGACCAAAAATACAGGATTTGAAATAAAGGTCAGGAGGCTGTCCTGACCTTTTTTCCAATTTTTCATTTATGGCATTCAAAATGACTCACTTCGTCCTAAACTTTTTTCAGTTATTCAGACGGTTTTTCCTTTTTTCTACAGAGAATTCATCGAAGTTGCTCTTATATCAAGTCAATAATGCTAGCCGTATAACTGCAGTTGTAAGAAAAAGCACAGTGCTGCAATTTTGATGCTTCTCTACTCTTACGCGTTTTAGCGCTACTCTTGAAAATATTGTAATGTTTTCCCTTCCTTTTCCTTTCAGAACAGATGTAATGAGCAACCAACCGATGCAGCAATCCCAAGTCTCGTCGGCAAGAGAACCCGATCCAGATGCTATCAAAATGTTTGTCGGTCAGGTAAACAATTCACTTTCATTATTAATAACAGTTATCTGAGATGGGATCTATGGAGTATATGTTTTTACTGTATAGCTGAAGTGTTATATGTGGAGCCGGGATGAGAATTCTTTCTTTTCATTTAATTACTTTTGTTTAGATTCCACGTTCATGGGGTGAAGCAGAATGCAGAGAGCTATTTGAGCAGTTCGGTTCTGTTTGTCAACTAAATGTTCTTCGTGATAAAGTAACACAAGCAAGTAGAGGTAAACTGTGTCTTTTTTTAACGTAGATTAAGGTAATGCATCCTTTTTACTGTGGATTACACATCAGCTGATATGCCAGACATTATATTTTATTTCAGGTTGTTGTTTTGTAACTTATTATAAGCGGGCCGATGCAATAGCAGCGCAAGCAGCACTTCACAACATCCGTGTCTTACCCCAAATGTACCATCCTGTTCAAATGAAACCTGCCGACATTGAAAACAGAAATGGTGGTTCATCCTTTTTTTGAATTCCCTATTCGTTTCCTTTTTGTCTTCCCATCTCCCTTTCTCCTTCATCATAACTTTTACTTAGCTTGTTAGCTGTGTCAAATAACTGTTAACGGAACACAGTGCATCATTGCTGTAGTGGTTTACGTGGAAGATTCACCGGCATTTTACATTTCAATACTTCAATGTTCGCTTCTTCATTTTAATGCAATGACAAGTATTGAATGCAGCGAATGAATTCATAAAATGCGGGATTGTCTAGGGTTAAGTATGTTTCTTTGTTTCCATTCTCAGATTGATAATCTGCGTTTTATTATAGAAAGAAAATTATTTGTTGGCATGTTAAATAAGAAACTCACTGAAGACAGTGTGCGTGAAATGTTTGCTCAGTTTGGACACATCGAAGATTGCACTGTTTTGAAGGATTCTGAAGGGAAAAGTCGAGGTATATCTACATTTTTTGATGCCACAGCATCGGTACGTGATCAGAACTAGCAAAAATAAGCAAAACAGACGTTCTTAGAAAACAAGAATAGTCAAATGATTAAAAGATTTTAAGGACGCACTGAAATTTACAACGAAAAATTTCAACTAAAGCTTGCTTCAGTGAACTGATATTATGATCAGAAAAGTTTACCATTAAAATTTACAAAGCATGGAAATTATGTATTTGATAAAATTGGAGGCATGTAGTGAAACAATGGCTTCTGACAATGAGTTTGAATTAGTTTTGAACGTCAGTACATTTCTGATCACCAAATCATATAACGTAAAATGATTTTATTAGTCGGACAATCTGGCCAACCAGTTAGTTCTTTTCATGTCCGAATGCAGAAATGGTTCATGTTACACTATTGATGACTACTGAATCCGATTTAGAGGAATGTAAGACTTGCAGCAGTTGTGCGATATCAGAGCAGAGCATATGTCCCAAAACCTTCAGGCAACTCGTAATGACTTTACTGCAAACATTAACCATTAAGATAAGGTAGTGCAACAGGGAATCAGCGAGTATTTTGAACAGAACAGTTTATGGGGAGCCTTGTAATTCTCTTTTAGGAAGTTTATAAGGCTGCCTTTCAGGAGATATGACAGTGTATGGCGGTGTGCTCATACCACTGTCACAAAATGCCTTGCTTTATGCAACTTGATAGTCCTTGTGATTCTGGTGATAAGTGTTATGTTGGCAGTTATAACTATAAGTTTGTAGATCAACTGCATGAATGTCAGAAGTGTTCGTTGTCAAGCTAGCTGATTACATTGTTCACAGTGCTTCACTGTAACTATTCGTTGTGTGTCTATAAATTAATTCATGTATATTGATCTCAGAACAGTTCTTTTGTTGATGACTGCTCCCAACTTACCTGAAAATCACTTAGGTGATAATAAATTCAGTGTTTTTGGTTTTGGGATATGTTACCTTGCTTACTGAATTCTTGAATAGCCTCGAGCTTTATGTTTAGATTGTTCTAGATATCTGCTATGGAGTTGATTTCTTCGGACTACTTATGATTGCAAGCAAGAAATAAGGATCAGTTCTGTTCTTTCTCATTCTTTTTTCCCTGTTCCTTTTTTCATGTTGTCCTTGTCACAGAAACTGTTTGTAGAGCGTAACTTTTTGTTCCAGGCTGTGCCTTTGTGACGTTTGCTCATCGTTCCTGTGCGCAACAAGCAATCAGACAAGTGCATCTATCTCAAACCATGGAGGTACTCTGTCACTCACCTGTACACTTTTTTTTTGAAGTACACCCTGATAAAGCACCGTATGTTACTCAACTTGCTGTGTTAGTACACAGCACAGCAAGTTATTCTAGCAGCGGTCTGCGTTTTTACTGGTCGATAATTGCTTTCATAAACTTTTCATTGCCCTGATGCATATGACTTATAAGTCTTAGCTCTGTGCTTAAATTCATATGCGGTTACATTACAGTTTACGTTAAATATTCGTTGCACTGACAGCGTAATTATGGGAACATGGGACAGTGTCATAATTTTTCATATTAATGAATGTTTTCCGAATTCTGATGGGTCAGATCTATTTTGTTGACGTTTAACATTGGGACAAATTCCATCATTTTTTGTTTTAACATATCCATGTTATTATCTGTAAAGATTGCAAATTTCCTATGTACTTTATACTTTTTTTATGAAGGAGTTGAATAGCATGCTGTTTTTTTGTGAAGTCCTTTGATTGTTAATTGTTGTTAATCGAAGGGGCGTTGACATCTTTCAGAAAACAAAATTTTCTGCTATAAAGTTTCTAAAAAAAGGAATTTTATAGCAAAAAAATTTTTTGGACGTTACAACTGAAGTTTCACTGTTGATATATTTCACTGTTTTGTAAGTTACAATGGATCCGAAATCATAATATCTTTAGGGCTGTTCGAAACCGATTGTCGTAAAATTCGCTGATACCCAGAAAGAAAAGGATGCGAAAAAAAGTGGTGGAACGCCAGCGGTAGCGACACCTTCATTGCAGAACACAGTCAGTTTAGCCAATACTTTGCAGCAGGTAAACTTTGTTATAGAAAAAATAACTTTTTTTATTCCTTTTTTTTTTAAGAAAAATTGACCTAACTATATTCAAATGCATTAATCGTGTAAGCTTACACTGTCTTGTTAGTTCTGTCATCTGCTGATGTAAAATTATAAATTTATACCTGAAGGAGAAACTTAATAGTCAGATCTGCTGCCCATTAATAGTGTTAAAACTTTCATGTTTATATGGCACCATTGTGTTTTCTTCAAATTAGCAAGCTTTGTCTAGCAACTACAAGAGCTGTTTGGTATTACCGAAAAGATCACTTCTCGTGTACTTTGGGAGAAAATCATTATGGCCATCATTTGATACAAAATCATTTTGATAAAAATTTTATCTTTGCAATTTTCTGTTATTCGATCAGAACAGACCTTATTCCGTTATTTCTACATGAGTATGTTTCTTGCAGTTACTGCAAACAACACAGCCAAATAGCAGTACCAGTCCTGCTCTGGGAACCCAATTGGCTGCACTCGCAGCTCTCCTGCAGACGGCATCACAACCCAATGTTCTAAGTTTACTTGGAAATGGTATCTTTTTTTCAGTTAATTTCGTTCCATAGAATTTGTCGACTATTGAGGCTACTGGACAAAACGTTACTAGCTCGAAAATCTCCGTCGATAGGAAACATGCAAAGATAATAATGTCAAATTAAATTTCAAACGGTTTGGAATCATAGAAATCATCATTAGGGATCGGGATGTGTTGACCGAAACAAGTAAACAGTGATTGTATTGTAGTATTATCTGGTTTGGGTCGTTTAACCGAGAATACAGCAGCATCGAATCAAACATCTATAAAATCATCACCCTTTCCTCTTGTCGGTCAGCAAACCCTGGCATCACTCTCCTCTTCACCTGGCCTCTCAAATGCAGATTCATCAGGTACATCATCGTAAAAACAATGCATGGGCTCCCTCCTGCTTTTTTCCATTTTCTTTATAGTATAACGTATTTAGTATCAAGCAGTATTTTCGACACCTCTGATTTTTCTTAACTATTCTGCACTGCTAGCAAGTAATTCTGATTTGAGTGCATGCACTATTTGTTGTAATATAAGTTTTTTTGCCATATTTTCCAGATTTCTAAGTTAGCTGTGATATCAGGTTCTACCATTCTTCATACTATTGTCATTAATTTTGTTAGCTTTTAAGTTCTACTAGCTTCCGCTTCCTTGGTATTCTCGCAACAAGAGTTTTGGTGTGAGTTAAACTAATAAATTTTTTAGTTTTTTATGAAATGTGATTCGGAATCCTTTCGAATTATTTTTGCACCTTCCATGAAAACTAAATGTTTTATTGCTCAGTAATAGCGGTAATTTTAATTAAATGTCTCACGTAAGTAAAGAGGATTCACATTATTGATAATCTAAGCAGTGAATTTATTAAGGAAGTAGTCTTACGACTGACACATCAAACTTTTTTCAACATTTCTTTTCAGTAAAGTATAAAAGAAAATTAAAATTTGTTTGTTGTGATTCTAACTTCAGTACTCTCTCGTGATTGTGAGATTGCTCTTTTTTCTTTTTTGCTTGTTATTCGTCAACATGTTTTAATGTCCATTTGTTATCCAATATTCTTACTATATGCTTCTTGATCGCATCTGGAAACTTCCATGAAGTCAGCAATTGAAGATTATGAAAACAGTGCGGCAACTTATGCTTCTATAGATTGGAAATCGAATTGCCTATTAATATTACCTGTTTCAGCTGCACTTCAGCAGCAGCAACATCAGCAATTAGCTGCGCTTCAGCAGCAACAAAGACTGCTAGAACTTCTTACGCATCAGCAACTTGCCAACACGCCAATATCTACTTCTAGTGGTAAGTATTACACTATGAGGATGAATCATTTCAAAGGTTCAGTAATGATTTTCTCATATTGCTGGTTCTCAACTTATCCCTTCTAACATCTTCGAACTTAATAGGTCTGATTTTGGTCAAGCACATTTGATCTCATTTCTTTGTGGTCAGGTTCTTTTGGTAATGACAGTAAAATAAATGGAACAGCCGGGGGAAATAACCTTATTCAACTGACGGGACAGAATACATCAAGCAGCATCGATGCTCTGCAGCAAGCATATGCGGGATTACAGCAGTTTGCAGGTGAATACTTTTGCTTTTATAAATTTTTCCGTATAGCAGTATTCCCAGAAAACAATTTGTTAATCATTCAAAACATACTGCTGCTTTCAAATTTGTTCAAAGTTACGGATCCTTATCGACAACTTTGTCGGTAGGTAGGACAGCTGTTTGGTAAGTATGTGGTATTATGAGCCTCATTTTACATTTCCCATACCTTTTTCAGGTTTATATCCACAATTATCGGCTGACAATTTACTTACTGCTAGTAGTGTATCTAATACAGGAGTGAGTACCGCAGGCAGTGGGCAATCAAAAGGACCGGATGGGTGCAATCTGTTTATTTATCACCTCCCACAAGACTTCACTGATAACGATTTATACACTACATTCTCACCTTTTGGGTCAATTATTTCGGCAAAAGTTTTCATTGACAAGCAGACTAATCTAAGCAAATGTTTCGGTAAGTATCACTTATAATTGTGTTATTATACGATGGTAGAAGATCAACAGTTCATCATAATAGGAGTGAAAAAAGAACAATGCCCCATCTCCATTAAAAATAGTGAGACAAAATTAATATCTCATTCTGTTCAATTCAATATTTTCAGGATTTGTAAGCTACGATAATGTCGTTTCAGCCCAGAATGCTATTTCGGCACTTAACGGGTTTCAGATAGGTTCAAAACGGCTGAAAGTACAGCTAAAGCGTGGAAAGGATAATAAGCCGTATCCGAGTATACCTGTTACTAGTAACAGTGGTAATACGAAACCGCTGTCAACTTAATTGTTGGAATTTTCGAAAAATCCATCTATTCATTTTTACTTTAAAAATTATGGTTTCGTTACCTTCATAAATTGTCAAACTAATAATGTGGTAGCGATATTAAATCATGTTCGTTTCATGGATTGGTAATTTAAAAGGAACTATTTTTACACATGTATTTCGAGATTACGCATATGAGGTAAAGCTAGTGAAATAAAATTAGAAAATAAAAGTAGACGGTTTAGTGAGGTACATCCTACCTTTTGAATTAAATTTATATTGACCCCTGATCTTCATTTCATGTATGTGCATAGTTTACATTATCATAGTCGCCTATTCTTTTAGTGTACTAACTGTGTGGGTGATATCTCTATGAGCTAAAAGTCTGTCACTGTTCTCGCTCTACTCAACTCCTCCCTTTAATTCTACTTAATTTACTGACGAATGTTAGGTGCATTTCCTGATTTTCAAACCTGATGTTATCATCGCAAGTCTTGCCTCATTATGAAAATGTTATTTACTAATCCGTGGTCTTGCCTGTTGTCTTCTGTTCTCATTTTTGTTGTCTTGCCAAGACTTCCATATGTGTATTGTTGCTATGAGCGTTTACGCGTTTCTTGTTTCTTTTATTAGCGTGATTAAAAACTATTTACGTTAAGCATTATTCAAGATTTACGAATTAATGTCTTGTGAAATAAATGCACTTCAAAGGCTGTGGATTGTACGTCTTGCTCAGGAACCTTTTTGTTTCTGATTGAACCATTTTTCGTTTATTTAAAAAGGTGATTTAGAAGAAGCTGCAATTTTTGACAGTATATGGTTACGCTTGTCTCGCTGGATATCCTTTGTCTGAAATTGATTTCTAAATTAGATTAGACCTCATTTTTTGCTTGTAACAGTGCGTCCAATCTTCCCAAATTTAGTTGTTCTCTTTAAGTTGATTCCTCTAACTGTAATACAAATGATATTTGATTTCCTAAATTTTTATATTTTATTTATATATGTTATGTATCATCTACAATGTTTAATGAGAGTCCACAAAATCTCAACATCTCGAATGGTCAACATTTTGGCATATAAAGAGGATAATTCTTGATATTAACTTCATTTTATCACAATTTATTTTGTAGAGCTCACTGAGCATTATAAAAATGCGTGAAAGAGTCTCAATAATGCAGCCCTGTTCTATATGAATGGTTAAGTTGCTGAGATTGGAAATCGGGTGGGGCACTGAACTAGCACAAATGTATTGTACAGTAGTAATGTAGGAACTGTGGTGTAGTAGTAATGTAATGATTCTCCAATTCTGCTAAACAATCTTGTTCAGGAAACATGGTGTGTTAGAATTTGGGACTACGCAGGAAAATAAGTACAAGCAAATAGGAAAGGTAGATACTTATAAAATAGGTACGTTGTATAACAGGAATAGAGGAGTCATTATTGTATATGTGATGAAACAATGTGAGTGTAGATGGCATTTCTTCGATAAAAGATTGTGTGGCTATTGCATGAGGTTTCGGAGATCAACCCAACAGCATTGCAAAAACTTTCACTGATTTCATCACTAGTTATTAGATCTTCAAAAGTTTGGTTCAGGCGAACTTTTTCACAACTGCGGCATTGTGATGGTGGCCATACTTTCATATGTCGTGCTTTCTGTGATTGATTCAGAGCCCGGTTGCGCTTCGCGACTATGTTTAATGCCGTAGAACCCATAAATGGCAAGTCCTAAAAGGAAAGTGTATCTTCATAATTTGTGCTTTACCAGAAAAGAGAATTGTGATTTTCCGAAGTCTGAATGCAAGCGCTGAGTATCTGTTAGTTTCTACTAAGCAGTTATAAGGTCACCAATGCGTGTATAATGTCGTTTGCTGAAATTAGAAGGACATCTCAGCATCTATTTGTGGCTGCACAATGGGATCACGCAAGGACAGCCATACCTCCATGATAACTCTTGAGAGCATACAAAAGCTTCTCTCCTAATCCTAGTATACAAATATATATATAAGGGAAAAATTTTGCAAAGGCAGTTTTTTACAATCAAGCAAACTACGACATCCTCTTCGCATATCTGCCACCATTCGATAACAGACCACAATATATCTTTTTTTCGCTAATACCTACAACATATCCCTACCAGTTCACCGTATAATATATACAATTGTTAATTAGTAATATTGCGTAAGAACAATATTACATCCCGAATAAACCTATAGAGCTGAAAAACAAAGTCGACAAAATAGCCTATCTAACTTATAATACTAACATCCGATAACATTTGAAGAAAATCATTGGCTGGAATCTAGCATGGGAATATGCATAAACGTTAACACTAGAACTTACCGACAATTAGCCAAATGCCAAGCCGGATCCAAGTCACCGAAGCCAAATGGAACATCAGAAAGATGTTGATAAGTACGCTAGTTGCTGGTATAAGAGGAACCAGTGGTACCTTAAGCATATATAATATCAAATAGAAACATGGAAGTTGGAAATAGATAGAACGGATAAGTTCAGTTTGCAATCCTTTAGTGATTTAGTAATCACCACTACATGTTTACAGGCGATAATCCAATCTAATTCCGGATATTAATGAGCACCGGTTTCGTAACTTCACGGTATTAGCTATCAGACCGTTTCATTTCACGGATTAAGCTATTACTTTAATTATTGTCGGATTATGAGTGATAGTAATATTGAAAAGTGATAACCCTGAATGAAATCTGCTCATCATTTTGATGATGTGCACAGATTAAAATGAATGCACTTGCAGCGATACTCCCAAAAATGAATATAAATATCCAACCAAATAGAGTATGCGCAAATGTCGCAAAAACGATACTTATACCGGCATTAGCAAATGTCATTGTGAAAACACACCACAGTACGAGTCTTCCTGGTTTCAAAATGTTAAGCCAGCGGTATCCTGGGATCCAGGATTTTACCCGACCTCCTAGAATCAAGACCAGTTTTTATTTTTCTACTAAAAAACCTCATTTTGGGATAATACACTCAAACTACTTTTATAAGCGCTTTACCTCTATTTACCGAAACGTCTTTATTTTGGCGGACATTGTAGGTGATGAAATTTAGCACTCTTGAAAGTCATGGAGAATGAGCACAATTCCATGTTCCCACCGCTTCGAAGCAATGAAACTTCCAATTTGAAACATTCTCTATTATATATTAATTATTTCATACCACTTCCTTCAATAATATTATTTTCATTGAGAGTTGGACGATATCGGAGAACAATGACACAGGCGGAAACAATCGTATAAGCAAGAAGAGTACCGATCGATAGAAACTCCACCAGAGTCTCAATATCAAATAGAAATGCTATTACCGAAGTAATAGCACTGGAAACAATTACGGCTTTCAGTGGCACCTACAGATATTTTTTTTATTGCAAGCTTATGAAGGATTGGAAGTTGAGGTTTATTTAAAGACCTGTTTAATTTCATTAGTAATGAAATAAGAGTTTCATCCTGAGGGTCTTCTAAACCAAAATACCAATTCATTTTGTTTTGTTAGCTCAATTCAAGATTTCGTACACATTTCGTAAACTTAACTTTTGGGATGGAATTTAAAGATTCCTCGAAATGTTACAAATATTTTATTTAGCATTTAAAAGAAGCGGTGTATGTATTCCAGAAAAGATCATGGAAATGGATGGTTATTTCGCGCGTTTACCTGAGTTTTATCGTTAACTTGTCCAAAAGTTTTAAATATCAGCCCATCTTCAGCCATTGCATAAACACATCGTGGAAGAGCGAACATAGAACCAATCTAGAATATTTTAATTTATACAATGAACTAATTAATAAACAATCTACCAGACATCTGTAAGCGCATGAAGTTGATTGGGTTAAGGACTCGATGATAATCTCCAATTTATCAGCAGAAATGATTCCCAAAAGAGGGATTTTTTCAACACTATTGAACGTTAAAAAAGACTTGAACCATCTCAAATTACGTGTTTTTCAACGATGACAGCTGACACTATTAGTAGATTTCGAGAAGAGATGTCCAAAATATGTTTATGAACTAACCAGACTTGTGGTCATGCCTGACATAGCTCCAACAGAAACAATATATTTTGCCCAAGTTGCCCCACAACTTGCAAATGCATCCGAAAATGCTGCTGTAGGATTTACCTATGAAATAAGCAAGTTGTTTCGTGAAACATAATATTCATAGTTCATCAATTTCTACTTCACTACTATGAAATATTCATTTCCTTCCAAACTTTTGTAAATTTGAAAGAGAATTAAAATTGTATTTATTACCTCCCAAAATGGAACCATTAAAGTTAGTGCTGAAGCCATGAGAATATAGGCCACTGTTACGATAGACATCGAGATAAACGTTGCTAAAGGTATTGTTCGAGCTGGGTCTAAATTATATGTCATTCTTCTTCACACATTAAAAATGCTTTTTTTTTAAATTGGGAATTTCATTAATAGGGCATTAAACTAGACAACATTGAGGAACAACAGCACTCACGCCTATCTTACTTACGTGAAAACTTCCTGCCGTGAATAATAAATACTGATAAATAGCTTTTCTTGATTGCACAACGATGATAACTTTACCAGAAGCTTCTTCTCCAGCAGTTGCTAAGCCATCAAAACCGATATAAGCGAAAAAACAATTCGCAGCTCCAGCAAATGTACCACCAATACCGTATGGAAAAAAGGAAGATTTACCAGTGTCAACTTCATAAACAGACCAATGTGCAAAGTCTGCGAATGTGAACCCATAACAGACCACAAATACAATAACCTGCAGAATTTAATGCTATCACAAATGGGTCAGGATAATAGTGAAGATTTCAATCATCGAAATAATCAATTAAGTTACCAGCATGTTAATTACTGTGAACAAAGAATTGAAATTAGTGGATGTCTTTGAGCCAAAACCAGTAAATACTGCAACTGCTATCACTGCTAAAAATGCGATCAAATCTGGCGAATCGACGAAGAATGACTTCTAAAAAAACTCTGTAATATTGCTCATTTCTTACCCAAGCATAATACAATGAGCAAACAATATAACTATCATGGAATCTCATAATTGCTTAGATTTTCGAATTTTTATTAAAATAGCCAAACGAACATCAAAATGTCTGACGGTAACGATGCTTGAATTTCTGAGAGAGTTGTCAATTAGAGATGTCAAACAGCCAGACCATGATCGAGCCACCGCTGAAAAGGAAAAACTTTGAAATTCGAAAGTAACAAAATAATAAGATGCGCAATAATATTTGGAAAACTTCACCTGCAGCTCCAAGCATGTGTTCAAGAATGATATTCCATCCAACAATAAATGCCCACAGTTCACCGACACCAATGTATACATAAGTGTAGGCACTCCCCGCTTTTGGAAATCTGAAACTTTCAAAATAGTGCATATGAAATTCAGTATGACAATGTTGATGTATGTCATCCTACATATTCAACTTGAGCAACTTTTTATGCACAGCAAGAGATGGTGTTCTTATGGGAAATGTTTCAGTGTGATATGTATCAATTTGAATATTAGTTTGAACGATTAAACTTCTTCAAATGTAAAACATTCAAACTAATTTCATTAATGATTTCACTTCAACCCAACCTTCCGCCAAATTCCGCGTAACACAATGCAGAGAGAAGCGATGCAAATCCAGCCAATGCAAACGATATCACAATGGAAGGTCCTGCGACATTGCGCACCACAGAACCTGAAGACGTTGACATCTAATTGTCGTATCATATAACCGTCGTTTTTTTTTTCTTGTAATTATATGTTTCATGTTTTAATAAAAAAAAAAAAAAAGAAAAAAGAAAGAAAATCACGACATTCATGCAGCAGCCAGCTGAAATCCAAAACTGATAACAGTCTAAGAAACGAATGTTCCACCTCTGATTGACAACAACTAAATCAAAATCTTTATTTGAATCTATCCGGTCAATATCATATCACTAATGAGAAGAGTCTTCCATTCATTAAGAAAAATACCTCAAATCTAATCTGTTTCCTTTAAAGTGACCAAGAAAATTAATAAAAAGTTTCAGGAATGAAGAATGAATCAGTTATATCTGTATAATAGTGAAGGAAAATACAACACAATGCTTATCAATCGTATAGGATAATTAATTAATCTTAATTACTACAAAAGGAGCTCTTTGGTAATTAGAATTACAAGATTAGAAGAAGAAACCTCAAATATTCAATTATTGTGGAATGTATGTCCTAAGCGTTAGCTTGCGTATATTTTCAGATATAATTTTATACGTAGCAATTTTTGTAAACAGTTATATCAGTTCATCATCAGTGATTCATCGATATCTGTGCATTCGATTTAGGACAGAAAATAGCTCATCTTAGCTCTACTCCATCTTTCTTAACTTACTTCTGAATCAGTTTGTTTGGAAGATTCAAAACTAAGGCCTTGTTAATTCACTTCAGGCATTTTTTTCTGTTCCGTTTTATATTTCAATTTCTCAACTAAGAAATTGAAACCTTTTACCTTCAAAGGATTATACCATAACTTTTTTTGACAACAACTAGTTATTCAATCGAAAGCATCAGATGAGGTCATATATCATAAAAATAAAAGTCTAACTCAGTGCTTCGAAGAAATATCGTAATTGGATGGTAAAAGCGATAAGTTTTCTTTGTTGATTATTAATTGTTTAATTATATGCTGGCAATTCATACGTTCCATTTATTATAAATTACCTAATCCTTCTGGTTATCCTCTGCCCATATTTCTCATAATTTCAAGAACATTCCAACTTCCTGGACGAAAGGACGAAAATACTGATAAGTCTGATAAGAAATGTAGAAGATCGAACTGGAAAGAGAAATAGAGAGAACAAGAAAAACTGTGAATAGTCAAACAATACCACTGTATCAATAGCTGGAAGTAGGAACTAAATTGAAATGCAACGGTAATTGATGCTCCTGTGACGGAGTGCAATCATTAAACAGTAAGTAATTATGCATAAATGACGAAGAGTTTTCCTTTTTAGACTAGCAAAAGTGCTCAGATAATTCCTATTTTGCTGTTTCTAATTTATACGCAAACCATAAATCCTCCATTATTTGTAATTAATAACCTGGCTTGAATTCCAGGTGTCCTTTAAATACAAAGTTCAAAATTGAAGAAATTTTTTTCTGCGAAGTTCGAGAATTTAAGGAAACTAAAATGTGAGATCGTAAGTTTTCAATCACTTTCTGCAGAAATTTATGGAAATTTCATTTTTTTTTTTAAGAATAAATAAAATTGCACATTCTGATAAAAAGAACAGAAAGGCAGTCGAAAAGATACCCACCGGTCAAAACATATATACCGGCTCCAATCATATGGCCAACACCAAGAAGAGTAATATCGGTTATTGTGAGACATCGTTTCAGTCGTGTTTCCATCACATTCTTAGTCGTCTTTAAACGGAAGAAACATTTTCGAATAGTGACCATTGTTATGTGTGATGGAACTTTCTGTGTATGTTAACACCGATAAGATGTAGAATTTGCAAAAAACATATCAGTGAACATGCTGAAATAAAATGTGTACTGATTTAAAAAAATGAAGCGTTAAAGTACGGATACGTGTACCACGTGAATAGGAATGAATGCGCTTAAATGTTTTTAATCAATTGAATAACTAATTGGGATAACCATAGGGTATTGCTTGTTGGACCTTATGAAACAATAAAATAACTGAAATCTGATAAGTAAAAATGTTCTAACATTTAATGCTTTGTAAGACGATAACCAATTTTACTTGATTAATTCCCTGTTGAATTTCATTACAATAGCTGCCAACATTTCATTCATCAAGTCCGATTGCAAAATCTTCGATCTTTTCGTTAAACGAATCGAAGGATCCAAAATCTTGCAACCAAACTAATAAAATGAAATGCCAGTTACACATACACTGAAGTATCATCTCAACTTATGTTAAGTTTTCCGAAAATATATCCCTTCTACTATGCTTCGATACACGCAGACACTATCATAAGCGTACCACGATGTGACATCCTGTCGATTTCTTGAAAGGTATCGGTGAAATGAGGAACGTATCCCACAGTAACATGATCAAATGAGAGAAAAGAATAGTCGGTTTGACGAGTGGAAATCATTAAAATATATTTATTACATAAATACATTATTTCACGATCAATAAAACAAAAAAGTCATCTGGCATTTGAGACAACAACTGAACTGGGAGTGCAATGCCTTGCATAGTTGTTGAAATGATTATCCCCAAATCATTCTTCCTTTGATGCTGACTGTCATCCTTCTCCTCCTGAGCTTTGCGCATCCTTAACCGGATTTTCGATGTGAATTTCCGTTAAGAAAGTGAAACTATTGGTCAATGATACGCATCGGCAGGTAAGAATGAACAACCACTCATCATTTTCTTCATTGAAATTTACTGTCATATGTCAACACCAAACTATTCAGCATCACATACCTTATATTTCCATATTTATACGGCAGGCGTGAAAACAGTAAATACTTAAGTTTGCATTAAATTTAGTAAACCAATATCCTACACACTGGCGTATTCTGTTAGGTAAAGTTGGCTAAATTTGTTCTAGCAAAATTCATTCATAACTTAAAACCGTTCGGCTCACATCGATTCAGCATTTAATTCTCTCGTATATTTGCTGAAAGCATTTTGATAGCAAGAAAGATGAGGATTGATAAGGGTTTATTGAGCTAATAATCGAAAGTCAACCAACTAATGAAAATGCAGATAATGCTTCTGAGACAAAATACTCAATAATAGTAGTATATTAGGAATGCATACAAATTTAATATATGGAAAGTGGAGTGTAGATAGAATGGCTCCATCATCGAGAAATGTGACAGCGCTGAATCGATCGCGTCACCGAGGAAAGCCACTTATGGTGATGATGTATAGAGGGAGACTTAAGGTAACACACAGAGAAAAAGTAATCAACGAAGCTTTTCAAAGTGTTGTTAAAGGCTTCCCTCATAAAAAATCCTAAAGATTTTGTAACATTCCTTAAAGCTAGATATCATTGATGTTTCTCTATTTGCATCTCATTAACTCCACAAAAATTCTCTCTCCTTACTTTTCTGCCAAATAATTCAAGTAGGTAGCACAACGCATACCGTATCCAGTAACATCCTCACTGCCAAAAAAAAGAAATGATCGTCATAAATTTTTTTTCATTCAGATACAATGTCTACTCATGAAGCGGTAATGCAATGTGAAAAACGCCGAAATAACGTTTGATATGGCAGTTTTACTTTAATCCCATCTCAACGTGAGCAATTCGTTGCAACAGGAATTTTCAACTTGTGTTGTTTTCCCAGCCTAAGACAACAATGCATTTCAAACCTTGAACTCGTCCTTCATCACAATGGATTACCCTTCACAAGTTTCTCGAAAGCCAGAATTGAAGACCCGGCATTTGCTAGTGCTGGATTTCGCCAACAAAAGAAAACGCAAAAAAAGACTGAAAGCGACGCATAAGAACTCTGTTTGAATTCTTGCCAGTCAGCAACAAAATTAAATTTCGATTAATTTGTAGAAATTGTTCGTCTTATCCTAAGTGCTAATGACTTTCTTCAACCGCGCAAAGATTGAGGGTTGTTTCTACCTCTTTGGTTAATAATACCTCAAACTTGAGTAACTACACCTTTATTACGGTGAATTTAATACGACAACGAACTCAGATTTTCATGAGAAAAATTATAAGAAAATTTTCCATAAGAAAAATTAATGATTTCATAAAATAGAGAAAATTAATGACGATAACATGGAAGCGAAACTCAATGAAGTTTGATGTCGCCTATCCAACCAGCCTAGTTGGAATACACTTTAAAATTCGGTGCATAGGACCCTCCGCTTCTGCGAGCTGAAAGTACCTGGTGGTATAGTTCTGAAATTAAAGAATTAGCACAATTAGCTTTGTTACCGCATGTGGAATGGAGTTCTGCTAGGCACATGAACACGATAAACAATGATTGCAGCTTATATTTTACATTGCACAAAAAATCCACACATACAACATGTCATACACAACGGTATCAAATTTACAACAAATAAACTACTAATTCATTGTTCCCCTTAGAGATTCCAACGATATTAGGATTTCAATTTTTCTTTAATCATAACACTGCACCTACCTTCCCCTTCCCTTTCAGTTCTTATCCGATAATGGTTCCCGATCCTTTATCCGGAAGGGAGTATTCTAGATAAAATTTGAGAATTCCACTTGTTTATTTTATCCACCCTAAAGTGCTGCAAATTACATGTGAGACTTTCATCGAATAAGAATGAAATTAATCTATCCTGAATGACGAAATTGTTAAATCATAAGTTACTTCCGTACACTTCTGTTTCTCCAAAATCTTAGTCTATTTCTGAATGAAAAAGATGTTTACTGTCTATCCGCATTTTTATTTGACCTTACATTGAAAAGTTTACAGATAGAATGATCTCCGAGAACACTTTCCAAGACTGCATTACTTTGTATTTGTTTCAGCTTTTGAGTTCGAGTTCACTTCCTCGAAATTTTATTGTCATCTGAGTATATAGCCTACAATCCCCTTCTGCCTCTCAGATCGAATAATCACTCTTATTTCCAGAACACTCATTTCTCACAACTGATGGAAATTTCTGATATAATTTTTTTTCTTTTCACATGACTGATATAAACTCCAATTAATCCGAATCACAAACTTTATTTCCTAATAAAACGAACTGTATTTTATTGTCTTAAGTGTTTTGCCGATAAAACCACTTGAAGTTCGAGAATACTATAAATAGCTGAACTGAAAGAGGTAGACAAAACTGTAATGAATGATAAATGTGCACAAAATTGTCTCACATCTTTCAATAAATAAGTAAATACGGACAAAGAGATTAACGGTTAAAATTCATTTAAAAAAAGGAAAAAAATAAACGACTTGTGGTTCAATTTCCAAGAAGATAGCATGATATTCTTAAACAAAACAGTACGGCAAAAAAAAAAACAATTTTCGCATCTTTCAAATATCAATTACTAGAAGGTATCTTGTCCGATTTTGCAGGTATTTAATTACGAATAATTATTACAGAAACGGTTCTCCGATCACATCTATGAAGAAAACTATGCGGGAGAGACAAAAATAAACGTGCATTTGACGAAAAATCAAGTGCAAAAATTTTGAAAGTAAGATAAGATAAAAGACGGGAATGAAAACAACAGTTTAATTGGGTAATAATAATGATTAACATAGATGATCGAAGGGAACATCAGTTACATAATAACCAATCGGATTAAATAGTTCCATGACTTTCATTCATAATTTTAACAATGGTCTGTCATTTCTGTATTTCTCTTCATCGAATGAGAAGATGAATAAACAATGGAATATGAATTTTTCGAACAAACTTCGGGGATTAATTCGTGTACAAAAATTTTTTTTTTTGATATCATCTATTAAAAAAAACTTTTTTTACAAACCGTTTCCCTTCAAAACTTACCTCAAATTACGTACATTTCCGACTTTGATAATGTCATCCTGAATTTTAAGAGTCTTTAGTTTAGCCGGCTTCTCTCTCTGGATCTTCCTCATCGTTATCACTCAACTGAATGTTAATCAGATATCCGCTATATATCCTATCAGCCAAACTTCGTATTTTGCAAGTCTGGCTGTTAATATATTCTGTAATATATTCAAAGGCTTCCGATTCCTGAAACAAAAATAGTACTTTACAAAGCTTTAGCAGATGTCAATGTTTCTTCCGGGAAACAGAAATGTATGGTGTGTCGATGCTCAGAATCTAACAGTTTATCACGATAATACTGTTTGCAGATGTTTCGAAATACTCCAAAGCAGTTCAAATTTAAAAGCCAGAATTTCATTTGAAAACGAACTCTAACATAATTCGTTGCCAACTTAAACCGCCTCTTAGCTCTTTCTTTTGAACATGCTTTAAACATGCAATTCAGAAGCGCAAGAGAGCATATTACATAGTCATTATTTTCGCTTGTGAGAACGCTGCACATTTTTTCAAGGTATGCTGGATCAGCTAATCTTCTGGCATTCTTTTGGTCAATATTGTCACACATGCATGTTAGTGCTCTGCAAGCTTCCCTCTTGTAAGATTTAGTACCCTGAAAAATTGATCCAGTTTAAAGTTCAAATTCATTTAAACCCATCCACAGCTCCGCTATACTTACACTCACATTTCTTAAAGTACCACAAAAAAAAGCAGCAAACTAGCAAACTTTAAATCCTTGACATTTTCAAACAGCACTTTTAGATTACAAAATAAAGTAGCAGCAAACAAATCCGTACAAACGTTATTCTGATGGAAGCATAATTCCTAAATGAATAACAAATAACCGCTGTGACAAGTTGTTACATCTAACAAATAAATATGCTATGCAAATTTTATTTCTTTAACACAGTACCACATAGATGTGACCTACTCTTCAATGAAGTGCATTTTTCAATTATTCTTTTTTCTGAGTCACCCCTATTCACGAATTAATCTACCTTTTTCCAAAATATTCGATTACAATAACTTGCCCGATCCATAAGTCCAAGAAGCAGCAGCACAAGTCCTGATTCCAGCACGGGTTCTATGTACTTCTTATTAGATAGAAGACTTGTTAAGATCAAACAAGCATCGTGACCAAATTTAGGAGCCGAATTTCGCACAAGAATAGATAAGATTTTTCTAATAAATCCTGCTTTAACGATTGCCTGTAACACCAATTCACATAAGCTTATCTGAAAAACACGATTTTCAACTTATTCCTGCATCATTTATCCTATTACATCACCATGTCACAAGGAATAGTAAGAAAACGCTCAAAATTTTATTTCCATGTGTTTGGGCAGAAGTGATTTATATTCGGAAACGTGCTGCTATTAGAAAATTTTCTAGACATTTCACAAACACTTTACTAGAAACAGAAATCTTATTTCCATGTGTTTGAGAGGTCAAAATTTGGAAAACTCCAAAAGTAATAATAAGACAATGCTCAAAATTTCCAAAACAGCATAAAACTACGAAACTTAAGTGAAAATAAAAAAGAAAACAATTTTCATAAAAACGAATAAGAATTACATCGGTATTGCGATTGTTTTGTTTTGTAAGCTCTGAAATAATATTAAATGCGGCTCTAACTTCATTATATCGTGAACTATCGAGAAATCTCAAAACGAGCTCCACATAATCGTCTTCAAAAGTGAGTGTAAAATCTTTGTTAAGAACCACTTCAAATATAGCACCCAAAGCAGATACGCGAATCTCGTTTTCCTGAACACCGTTTGTTATTTCAAGAACAAGCAGTGCAGCAATCTGGTAGTGGCTAAACTTTACGTTTAAATGATGAAATTGTAATTATGCTGCACTGCTAAAGTGCGGATGAAGACTTCTGGACTCGGGAGACCTTTAGATTTGAAGAAAGCGCTCTAAAGAATGATTGAGGATTAGTAAGAACTGAACAATCCGCCACTGGTCTGAATAAGGAATGATAGGTCTATGAAGAGCAAAAAGTGTGAAAAGTAGACGGTGGAGAGAACTGTAAATTGTGAAACAATTCAAGTGCAATAATCTCCAATAATTTTCAAGGCAAGATTTGTGAAAATTGCACTTAATGTGATTTGCCTGTAAGTAGGATGCATATCAGAAAAAAAGGAGGAAGGGAACCTCATGTCGCAGAAGATAACGAGCACTACTAGCGACGCGTTTTAGGACGAATTCTGGGACTGGCTTACTGCAACACAAGTCTCGCAGAAAGATTGCAACAACACGCGCAAATTTCGTGGAAATCGTTTGATAGTATTTCGACAACAATTCGCCTACGTGCAATGATCCACATGCTGCAATAACATCGCGCATAGCAGCACTTTTGATAATAATAGACGAGCACACTTCAATTGCCTGAAAATTTATTGATCTTTTAACGAAATTTCAAAATGGCTCATAACCAGAAATCACCTAAACAGTAAAAAACATGACATTGTTATACCTCCTGAACGATGAAAAGCATGTCACTTTGCAGTGTAGCTGTAAGACCTGTCAACAGTCCTTGTGGTATCAAACTTTTCACTTGCGCTTCATCCATATATATAACAATTATTGACAGAGCATGTAACGCATAATACTGGATGGTAGGATTCTGCAACATGAATTTTCAAACACGCAAACAACAATGCAAAACATAATGTAGTCAAAAAATTGCAACAAACAGCACAAAAAATATAGCAAATCGTAGAGTTAATTTATTTTTTCTTGCTCTTGGTAATAGAAAAAACAAAAACGCTTTATTTTTTATTTTTAGGAAAAAGATCATAAACCTGATATTGAATCCCCTGAACTAACATTACATCTAGTCCTTGACGATGTATCTCATCAATTGGTGATTCAAAATTGTCGACAAGTTCATTGAGAAGTTGCAAAGCACGTTGAATATTTCCTACTGTTGGTCTTTTCTTACGGAAAAGATCCACAATTTCTTTAACATCTGGTTTATAAGGATCTTAAAGTGGGATGTCTTAGGGAACGTGAAATGAATAAATTTGACTTATGAGTTAGAAGTGTTACCAGGAGAAAGATACAAGCTTTGCATAAATTGTCCATTGCTTCCGGATTTGTATTATTTTTTTGCAAGTAGAAAGGAAAGCAGTGATTAGGCCACCAGATTATTAAATTATTAGCATACTTTACAAAATTTTAATTCGCCTTTTTAAAATGAAAATGTAACATACTTCATATGGAAAAATTGGTCTTCAAAAAAGTTTCGAAGTGAATCAGTTCAGATAAACTTACGACGACGTTCATCCTTCGGTTTCAGGCACGCTTCACAATTTACAGCTTTAGCCGAGTATCGTGAATTACCTTCATCGGAAGTTTCCTGATCGGATTCATTGCACACATGATAGGAAGTGCTTCCAAATACTGCTTCTTCCTCTAACCGCTTGAGATGCTGGTGTTTCTGGTTACCTTTCCGGTTTTTTCCCTTTCCTTTCTTACCCATTTCCTCCAGAATCGAGTACTAATAGGATAACTGCAAGTAAAATAGTTGTAAAAGACATTAAAATTGAAAAAATTTTCTATCCAATGAATCAATGGAAAAAGCATAAGCACCAGCACAACGTTTACTCCTGAAACTTAAACAGCACCTGCGTCTTCGTTTAATGTAATTTAGATGTACGAAAATGTTTGCTCTGTCGGGGAAGCGGGAGTATACTTAGTTATACCAAGTTACACTTTCAAATGCATCAAGAACTCGCGGGCTTCCGCCTCAAATGTAGCTATTGAATACCAGTATAGGGCAGTATGGAAAGAATTCAAAAATATGACATGAAGTGACAGCACCAAAGAGAAACAACTGTTCGATGAGGAGTCTTTAAAGTTAAGTTCAAGTACATTATTTCAGCGTCAATCGCTCGTTAGCGCACTCGAAGCGCGCGGGCTTACTACGATCTTGGATGAGCGAATTTTCCCTCGCTTTGCACGATTTTTCCTATCGAGGTATAACGCGCATGACGACGTTCTTATGTCGTGCAGAGGTGACGTGTCCTATCGAATTGGTTGCACATTTTATGTAAATTCGTGCAGATTATATGAATCCATGCATATTACATAGGCTTCTGCATGACCAAATTCAAATCCACACGTTTTTTTCATCCCATGCTAAATAGGTTAATTATACTGATGAAGTAAAATTAAAGAAGTTATCATTCCTACACAAAACGTCATCATCTCTTCTGTCAAAAAACAGTAATAACGATCAAATTTAGTCCAATACAGGTTATTGAGAAAAAATTAGATTCGAAATATCTAGTTCATTAGTCTGGACTAAGTACAGACCTTGGCCAAGTTCGGTTCTTTGGTTCTCTTTATTGTTCAGTATTTGTTCTACGATTTCTTTGTGACTGTCGAATCTTTGGCTCCTCTATTACCCAATATTCAAAATTCGAAATATTGCAAAGGGATCATTTTATAGTATGATTTCGGAAATAAGCATGGCTCAGGAAAGTTGAACAGGTTTACCGATATAGCCATTTCTTTATTCTTGAGTTAATAGATTTATTCCATACTCCTCTGAACTGTATCTGCACAATTGAAAGGGACAGAAAAGTAAACAAAGGTATCATTGTTTTATTCCGACCATTCTGAAGAAAATGTCAATGCTTAACGAAAATGACCAGGAACAGGGTCAGTTACTTCTTTATCGTGTAATCTCTCCTTCAATAATATTGAAGACTGTTCAATTAAGTTTATACTCAGAATTCTGCTTCTGTCAGGAAAATTTCTAATTAAGAATTTGAGTTATTTCATTTCTTTAACAAATTTGTTAATTCGTTGCATTGAACATTTTGTCTTTGTCTAAACATTTTGTCTAAATAGGAAACAAAATCTCCATCATGGATTGGCCTGTCATCCGATAATCACCGAAAGTTAGGTAACTTATGTTAATGTCTGTTTCTCGCATAAATACCAGACACTCAGAAATTTATTGACGAAAAATTCCAGGTTTCACTGAGTTCATATTCAAATATTCGAATTGCCGTCTTGTCTTGCTTTGAATACCAATATAGGCAGTATGGAAAGAATTCAAAAATATGACATGAAGTGACAACATCGGAAAGAAACAACTGTTCGATGAGGAGTCTTTGAAGTCAAGTTCAAGTACATGATTTCAGATAAACCTTCGTCACATTAGGTTACAAACTAAAATCACTTACCCGTATGATCAAAAGCGATTCTTTCAAAGCAGCACAGTTTGAAACGTAAGTCTTTGTAGACTTGTAGTCTTTGTAGAAGTCTTTGTAGTCTTTGTAGACGTTTATATACACTTCCTGAACTATTGAATGCTTTCTTCTTCGTATGCAATGAGTTAAAAAGAATTAAACTCATGGAAATGAAACATTTAACACAGAAATTTTCTTATCTTCATTTCTTTCTGTACATCTTCTGATAATATGAAGCCTTATTTTGAACTTGAAGTAATACTGGACTTGTTACTCTGGTCTTGCAATGGAGTCCGGTACAGCTGTTCTCAGCTGAGGTTAAAGTTTCTGCAAAACCAAGAACAATGCTGGAGACATGGATTCCCCTGTATTTACTTGGAGAATTACAGAAGATCAAGTATTTGCATATTTCTGGAGCCATATTCCTGAATGCATACACGACAATTTAGGGAAATTATAAAACTGCTTAAATGAAAGATGAAACTTATTTGCTTATGTTCGATTGTTAGTAGTTGTGTGGTTTGTGGTTGTGAAAAATGAGGAAATGTGGACAGTCTTCTGATTCCCGACAGAGTAGTAATTTATCATCGGGCAGTAAACAAATCGTAATGCCACCACTGTGGTCAGGTAACACTTTTCTCTGTTCAAATTGGAAGTTAAAGATTTTAATGAAATAAATAAACAACGATATGCCTGGAACAGAAACGTTAGAAAGGTAACTGAATGAGAAATAATAAGAAATATGGAAAGAGTATAAAGAGAATGATTCTATCAACGCAACTTATCATGATAAGTCCAAAATGAGAACTCAAATTATCTTACAAGTCTAATCGGTCATCATTGGAGCCCGAAATAACTTCGTTGAAAATTGCTCACTAATACTACGTTTAGATTTACTTTTACTTGTTTCAATGCTTGTCTGAGAAGCCCATGTTCAAAAAAAATGAGATAATACCGCTTGGAATTTCGTAATCTAAATGTACGATACTTTGCTTATAAATGCCTGAATGTCACTTTTCTATTACTGGTCTCTGGCAAGTTTGACTATCTTTCTATTGATACACCTGTTTCATGGTTGCTGAAATAATTTTCCCATTGAATTTAGTTAACTGTTTCATTCATTTGCTTCTTAGACTTCAGAATCGTCGTTGTTGTTTGGTGGACGTAGAGCGCGGTATTCACCTTTGACACTAAGCAATATTGATGGAATGGAGAAGATTCCGCATCGAATAGTAATGCTTGGTGATTACTCCAGTGGTATTGGTTTGCTAAGAAGTGAATTGGCACAGTTAAATTATTTTGAAGATATCCCATTCTCTGTAAGTATTTCTTCAACCACTCATCTCTTACACTAATTTCCTAAAAAAGTGATCCAGCCGAAGACAATCAATATTTATGAGCTATCGTTGCTCTATCGTTTGTTCTTGATTCCAAAAAGACAACTGAACGGACAAGTAATTAAAAAGTGCCCAGTCATTAGGCTAAGATGTAAATAGAAGGGCCGGCTTGTTTTTTTTTTTTGTTTAAAAGCTACGATATTTTATGATGAACTGAAGTGGTGCACAGGATGCCAAATATTGCACAACAATAACGCAGGATGGACAGGAGCTGCAGATGTGGCTCTTTGTTGATTTGCATAATTTTGAATTGTTTTGCAAACAGTGCACCGAAAGTATCGATTGCTGCATAGCGTGCTATTCGATCGCAAATGAGCAAACCTATCGGAGTGTCATCAAAAAAGTAGAAATCATCATAATTGCTACAATTTTAATAAAAAAACTTTCCTAGTTTTAAAACATTATGACTTGATGAAATTTCTCCTGCAAACCCAACAGTCACTGTGATTATTTTTATAACTTTCTGTTTCAGTTTAATTTTCTCTAACTTCACCTCAATTGCACATAAGAGATTTAAATAGTCAAAGAGTTATCAGAAAATCGCAAATTTTCGGTTTTTTCTTACAGTGGCTTCCTGAATTTACAAATAACTACCCTGGAAAACCAATCATCCTATGCGCATTGAACGATTGCGAAATATGCACATGTGGTAGCGGCATTCATGAAACGAGATTTCAGCATGATTTCAATTTTTGCAGCAATCACCTCACTCAAATCGACATTTCCATCTTCGATAAGGTACGATCAGCATGGTACAATCATACTGCAATTTAACATCTGCACCTCATTTTACAGCACCATCCCAACAACTCTTATTAAACAAATCGAGGCTGTGGATTTTTGAAAATTGTGGGATTTTGTTTCAGCGCAGTGTGAAATCACTATACAATTATATAAGAAATACTTCAAACAATTCGAAATTTAAGCAAAAAAAAATCAAAATGAACGCGTGCATTCTAATGTGATCCATTCTATTCGTTTCTTCCAATGGGATCATAAAAGGACAATAATAAAGTCTGTTCAAATATTGCTTGTTCTATATGGAACGAACTTATTCAGGTAACTCAAGCATCTTCACGCAGAAGTAAATAAAAGTGATTGGCGGTAAGAAGGAACGATTTTGAGACGAGGGTGTGTAAATCCCACCGAGTTCCCTTCTCGCCGGACATTATGAACACGTTTGACGGCTAATGCTCATGTGAAATAATACTTCAATTTAGCAAATTGCAATAAACATGAAGATTGATGCATGCATCAGCAAAGATTTTCAAAACTTCGTTATGGCTCATTCTAAGGTGATATAAAAATCCGCGGATGTCACATAAACCACTGTGAATATTGCACTGTGGCAGCAAAGTGTATGCGATTGGCAAACAGCTTTGTTAAAAAGAAAAATTCACTAGATAGTGCGTGGGATGTAATATTTGCAAATGATTGCCGCGTTAGGTGTGTGATCTTATGGCCTGATCACATCGAAGTCTTATTGGCGTGGTTGGAAGTTCCTCTTTAGGTTGCGATAGTTCTACTGCTTTACATATGGGGCTTTGCTTTTTCTTATCGATGAAATTAATTTGTCCTGTACCCTTGGAATAATAATTCTTCGACATAAGGCAGAAATGAAATGTTGGAGACAATAATCTTAGCATTTCATTACTAAAATTTTACCCTTTTTTCAACCTTTTTGAAGGGCAGAATTTTGTTAATATAGGGAAACGTGAGAAAGTGTTCTACTAAGAGTTCATTGACACTGGTTGAGGGGTATTTTTGGCAAACTGTAACTAATGCAAATTTCATAAAAATCTGCTCTTCCTGATTTTCGGAGAGAATGATTTACTTATATAATAAGAAATATTTCTGATGGAAGGAATTAGTGTTTGTCCTTTACTTCATTCTGTTCTATAGAAGCGACTGAATAACAAGATATTCATTTTTTATTTTAACAAGATATTCATTTTTAATTTTAATTTTTAACAAGATATTCATTTTTTTGCATAATAGTTAAAATGAATGCAACCTCCAATACGCACTTACTTTTTTCTTCCTTTTCCACGGAAATTAAATTAATCGGTGAAGCCGTTATCATTCTGATACTGTTTAACAGTATTTTTTTTTTTTTTCAACTTGCTTATTGAAATCTCAGTGGTGGTTCCGAACCCATTTGATTTTTCACTTCATTTTCAAGCAGCAAAAAAATTTTGATTTTATTCATGGAGTAAGGTTAAAATCCGTCATGCACTTCCCCAACGAACTTCATTCAGATGTAAATTCTTTGCCTCAGCCCCTCTTCCACTGTGAAAAGAAAAAGTAGCAGACGTTGACGAACTATGATTTAGGTCAAGGACAATTGCTGTGCGTTTGGAGCACAGCAAGGAAAGGCCTTCCGCTTTCGCTGTCTTTTGCTGTCTTGAGAACGACAGTAAGAGAGTGTTGTTAATTTCTATAATTAGCTGATGTTTAGTGTCTCAATAAATCATAAGCCATGAAATTACGTAGAGTCGTAAGGATTTTATCGGAAGGTGTTTGAAATGTTTATATCGTTGATTTCACACTTATTTTATTGAATAGTCGGTGTTCTTTTAGAATTAATGAAGTGATGAGGGAAGAAGCTGCTGCTGTATCCACTAAGGTTTGCATTACATATTTATGATTTTTGTTAATTGCTCGCTGATTACTTACTAGTTGAAGCTGTTTTGGGAAATGACAAAATGTATGGGGAATTAAGAGAATGCTATCATCATAATAGAATGGTAGTACTTACTTATTATCTTAACTTTATTATCCTAACACAAAGAAATTCTCATGTCACTGTCGATTAACACTGCTGTATTTACGTGATGACAACGGAATAATCGATTACTTTAGCCAAATTTCAAGCTTGATCTCATATGCACTTTTTCTCTATTTCATTATAACTTACCACTGGGCATTTATACTGCTTGTGTGCAGGTTGTTAAACTGAATTACTTCATATGGAATAGCAGATGCATTTCCCAAAAATATGTGTTTAACAATTATTTTTAGGTGTACTATTATTTGGACGACAGTACTCCATATTTATCTGTAGTGCCCGTTGCAGACGATGTTATTACGCTTGGAGATTTTAAGAAAGTTTTCAACAAAAAAGGGTACAAATATTTCTGCAAACAGCTGGACGAAGCAATTGGATGGTTAATGTTTCGAATATGATTTTTGGAACAGCTACATAAAATTTGTTTTGTTTTGGGCAGAGTTTTAAATTGCTTGATATGCTCAACTGTAAGGGTATCTAAAATTTTCATTTAAATATATATTTATATTCCTCAACATTTTTCCTCATCGTTTGAGGTAAATTCATAATTTTTTTAGCGAAGTCAAAGTAGAAATCCGAGATGACTCGACGAAGTTGGTCAAATCAGCGAATGGACTTATTGAATTGGTTCTGCTTCTCTCATTCGAGAACATTTATTGTTCAGGAACCTTACCTAGAGCATCTAACAAAACTAGCAAAGGACAGCTCGCTAGTGCTAAGTTGAAGGTGGTATATTTTAATGTTGGTTATAATTATCACGTTTTTATCAGTTTTCAGCAATTTCGGAAAGATATGAAATTAAGATTGAGCTAGCTTTGCAAGCTATTACTTGAATCTTACTTTAAATTTTAAGAATTTCAATTTGAGAAAGCGAAGATCCTTGCATGATCTAGCTAGTGAAAATCGTGATTTGTTGCGTGCACATCGGAACAAAAGTGATGAAAACAGCATCACAACGAGCAGTTTGTCGACAGTGATTAGCAGTAAGTGATATTCATGGTATGAACTGTGTGTAGTAACTTTTCTGGTGATTTCATAAAAGTTGGAAATGTTAGCAATATTGACTAACTTAAAACAAAACAGAAGGTTCATTTCCATGACAAACCTTGGTTCTGCTGACACGCTACATTTCTTCAGTTAAGTGCTACTGCAAAGGAGTTAAGTGCTGTACTCCCATTGCTTGAAACTTATTTTACAGCTTAGGGAAATAAGAATTATATTATCACAATCTTTTTCATTGTGTCCGTATGCTAAAGGAATACAGCATCAGCTAAGTATTTTAAAACTAAAAAAGTGGGAAAGTGATTTTCTTTCCTCATTCTTGAAATGAGAAGTGTTTGGGGGATGTTTGACGAGGAATGTTTGGGAGTCATAAATTATAATATCGGAATTTAAGAATTTTTCATCGACTCATTTAGTAGGAATTTGAAATTCTGTTTCTGTTTGTTTGTTGGACATTTTTGGAAAATGACACATGAAAACTAAATAACGATTTCAGAAAGAGCTGGCGAAGGTTTGGCAGAATTATATGCTTCCAATTCAGAAGATCCGTACCATGTGGAAGATGTGAATTCAAGGTAATTTCAAGATCCATTTTAAATAGGATCAAATGGCTTAGTCATTGTAGTTTGTTTTTTTTTTCTTCCTTGCAGATATTTCAAACATCCTGGTGCTTGTACACCATTCTTTCCTACTTTACCACTTGCTAATCCTAGTGGGATACCTCTATGTCCTCGCCGTCAAAGACGTCCTCGTAAAGAAAGATATCGAAAAGCATATGTACCGAGTACTATTTCCTCAGTAACTGAAAGCAGGTATGCATATAGAATTAATTTTGAAACTGAAATGACAAATTGCTGACCAATTTAGATTCATAATACTGTTTATAATTCCCAACAATTTGTACATTTCGGAGGTATATTTAGTTCATCATATTGTATAACAGCATTATTCTGCAGCATGACTTCTCTTTCACTTCCTCGAATCGATGTTGTAACTCTGCCTATGAAAAGTGGAGTTTTCTTGGGAATTTCAGTACTAAGTCATGATGGTGGCATTTTTGTTAGCGATATTCACAATGGTCAGTATTTCTTAACTAATTTTGTTTTGTCACTTCTCTAAACTACTCACTTCTCTAAACTACTTTGGACATGTTGTAAAAAGTTGGAACTCATTACCCTCATAAAACCTCATTTGCTGTCATAGGTGGTATAGTTGATATGGATGGTCGAATTCAAGTTGGTGATCAGATTGTACAGGTGAATCGAAGTTCATTCGAAAATTTAAGCGACGTTGAAGCGATTGATCTACTACGTAAAGCAGCAGCTAGTCGAAGGTTGGTTGTTTTGGGTTTTTTTCTTTATTTGTTTTTCCCAAATTTCTTTTCAAATGTCTGTGTTTAGAAGGCATTATATTGCCGATATTTTATTTATCTGTATCATTTAAGACCAATCACGCTTTATGTTGCCAAAAGAATATGCAGCAATTCAGATAAGCAAGCAGATATACTCTCAGGGATTGCTTCAGAAACCATGCCCATTGATGTATCGCTTTGGGTGGAGAGCACTAAGTAAATCTATTTTTTCTCCTTAATACAACAAAATTATTTTAATACTTATCAGTGGCTCATATTTTTACTTTTTAGAATGAAACAAAGTTAAAATAATGTATTTTTATCTGATGTTGCAATTCAGATTTACGATTGTTCTTTACATTGAGATCGATATTCAGACACAATATTGTGAGGCCAGCAAAGGGTCTTGAGGAGATGGTTTCGGTTAATGATGGCGACGCTATACTTGTTGCTGAAGAAACTGAGACTGATCTAGAAGGTGCTTATGCAGAGCGACGAAACGGACTTCCTCCAAGCAATCGGAATTGTGTGAAATTAAAACAGTTAAATTCACCCAACTTGAATATTTCGTTGAATATCGAGGATATTGCAAGACGACGAGAAAATGAAGAAAATGGTTTATAAATATTTTGTCATATTATGTTTGAAAATAGACAAAAAAAAATTCTTATGATACACCAAATTTATTTTTAATTTTCTTGAAATGCTAGCAAATTAGCTGACAAACAGATTAAAAGTTAAAACTGATTTCTTAAGCTCACTGGAAAGCTATTACAGACAGTTAAGGAATGCTGGGCACAATGTTGCACTGAATAACCCGACAGGACTGACCGGTTTTTCACTTTTGATTTTAGTGTATGAAGTTACAGAACAGCAGTTGGATAATCTGAATGTTGATATGGATCCGGTGATCATTCTAAAATATATGGCCTTACCCAATTCGGGGTTACAAATAAAGAATCGAAAATGGCTGAAAATTCCTGTGCCGATGTCTTTCATTGGTATGATTTTTGTGTAGATATCCTATTCTCTCTCATGGAATACATACTTGTAACATTGCTTTAAGGCTGTGATCTTATTGATTGGTTAATGGAACATGTGCATGGCATCACGGATCGTAAAGCAGCACGTATCTATGCATCAAAGTTGTTGGCAGAGGGACATATTAGACATGTTGTTAATAAACTTACATTTACGGAAAAGTGCTATTATATTTTTGAAGGTGATGTTAGTTGTTTTAAAAAGATTTTGACAATTTTGTTCCAGGAAAGCTTGAGAAGTTTCAGTTTAACTTTCGATACTTTTTGCTGGAGCATTAAATTTGCCCAGTGTATAACTAAGTTTTAATGTGCATTATCTGGAATCAATAATTTACAGCTCCAATTTCTACTTATATCATTCGCCAGTTCCTTGTTTGATTAATGTCTCTTTTGTTTTAGATTCAATACTTTCTGTTCGTAACAAAAATAAGTCAGATTCTTCACTGGGTAAGGCCGGTGCTGAAGTTACCACTGAAGTGACATATGTTGGTTCACCAGCACCAGCACATCTATCTCGTACTAGTGCACGAAATACTTTGAGTGGAAAAGCCATGCTTGATCAGTCTTGGCCTCACTCAACGGTTGTCTCAAGTGGTCAGCGAAAAAGTTTTTGCGATAGCTCAACGGTTGGTCATATACATTGCTCTGTGTGTCTCGATCAAACTTTCCTTATTTTTTATTCAAAAAATTATTTTCCTTCGTTTTTAAAGATTCGCATTATAGAATGACTATGCATCCGTCATGGGTCCAGATGTGATTGATTCTGCGCTTCTTACTGAGGCACCAACACTTAAACTATCACACCATGCACTTCCTGATCGTCTGGATGTGGAACAACGGATTGATGGATGTCAAGTAGGTTATCTGGTCAAATACAATTTTAGCAAATTAGCAAAAAAAACGTGACGTGCTGTGCTTTATATCTCAGTAATTTAGTAATATATGTTATCTTTCTGTACCGTTCGCTGAAACACTTTGAAGATTTAATTAAGAAATTGTGTTTGACCCATATCTTAAAATCCTTCGAGCTGGTGAAATAAGAGGTCAGTTTCTTCCAGGTTGCTCAACCACCGAATACACCGAATTCATTGATGCACGAACAAAGAAATGCTGATAGCGAAACTGAATTTGAATTAGTTGAAGATAACAAACTTTTAATCGTGCAGTAGGTAGGAAACAAATGGATTTAAAATAAAATCTATAACTAAGAAAGTCAAAAAACTTCTGAACAAATGTTGCGAGCGTTTTTCTTAGATGTTTTTGTTCTAAGAAAGAGATTCTGAAACTGTTGTAGTTTTTAGACGTTTTTTTTTACTTCTGATTTTATCTCAGTTTCAATTCATGACATGTGCATTATGTTATTAGAATGAAGCAACCGATAACACTTCGTTAGTACTGTGTTTTTGGGCATGCAGTACACATAACATGTGTACATACTGTATAATCTTGCACTGCTGTCGTATATAAAATTCTATTTTCGTTTTGTATATCAGTTATCACATTTAAATCTAAACTTATTTTGGAATAAAAATCATCATGTTTGTCGGCCAGTTACAACGCAGTCATTTTGTCGCCCTTCGGTAAACACGAAGTAGTATGGGATTAGAAATATCAGAAATCCTAGTGGATGGAATAAACAACAGTAATTATCGAAATACCTATAAACAAAACTGATTGGTGTGGAAGTTGAGTTGCAGTTACAATGAAGTATGCAAATGTGAGGGGCAGGAAGTAAGTTTGCTTTTCGAATGACTGGAGAGAAATTAAATTGACTACATAATTGTCCATTGACCTTCCACGTTTCTGGTATCGCTCAGCTCTAACCAATATTAGTTCCCGTGATTGCTCTGTTAATTCACTTTTTTTCTTCGCTGCCGATTTTCTCTAAATATATAAGCAGTAAAGTTTATTATAATAAGAGAAATTCACATAATTTGTAGATGATAGTAGTAGCAAGATAAATTCAAACTAATCCGCCAATTGCTTGGCCCGTTTATCCAGTGCAATAATAATGAGTGTTTGGAGAAGTGTGATGAATACAAAAGCTGTGATGAAGCCAAACCACAAATCGATTGCCTGGGAAAAAAAGTGTTCACAGAATTTCTAATGTCCTTTCACGAAGTTTGGATGACCCACTTCTAAAAAATAAAGTAACCTTCATGTAGGAAACACTTGGAAGATGTTCGCGAGCACCGGCTGATTCCGTCGATAAGATTAGAAGTACAGTGATTGCAACAACGCCAATACGTCTTTCCATGAATTCTTCAGGAAGCCATACACCAACCTATGAACTTGAATTTTGATTCAAACAATGGCAAACGATGTGGTATAAGAAAAGCAACAAACAGTACCCATTAGTGCCAGTGAAGTTGGTATGTAAGTCTGAGTGATGTGAAAGCCAACATCACGTTTCAATCGGAAAATTGCCTTCAGACAAGAAAAATGATCTGAAAATATGGTAAGTTATTGCGGACAGAAATAAACATGTTTAAATGAAAAATGTTACTAGAAGAGGAAGCAAAAAAAGCAGTCAAGCTTATCTAAAACAAAAAGTATAAGCAACTGAAGACAAAAATGATTAATTTCATTTACGGGGACAATTTCTGCCTTTAGTTGCTTATATTTTAAGTATCATTGGCAATACCATTTTGGTGACTAGCAACCAATCTCGATGAATTTTTCAAATTTTTGCTGTTGAAGAATTAATTCAATGAAACCTTAAAATTTAATTATGGTCGAAAATTTAATGTGGTCGCTTATATAAAATACCTGATTTTCGGGTTCTTTCGCAATAGGCGGGTTCGTAGCGATGAATGTAAAGCTCAGATAACGTGACTTCTGGATTTTTCTCAATTGCATCACGTTTATTCGAAAACCATTCAAATCGTACAGTTTTCATAGGATATCCAACTGAAATAACGCCATATGTAAAACGAATCGTTATGAATATTTTTATCATAATATCACGAACCACGATTAGAGTACTTGAATGCTAGATTTATTCTTAGCTTTTCTGCATGTACTTCAAATTTACCTTTTCTTCACCTTTAACAAGGATGGTTTCAATACACTTACAAGATTTAATTTACAATTCACAAGTTTCCCTATCGTGTGGATACTTGCAAAGCACAAGATTGCATGACGGCTTCAGTTTGATTCTAAAAATGGAAAAGAAACGAATTTTTTGCTCAACGGCAGGGTTTTCGTTACGAATCGATTATGTACACGTACTTTGAAAGTAATACTCAGTGAATTATTACTAACTAATAAGATTGACACCTGTAGTAATAACAGTAATACAATCTAAGTAATGATAGCGACAAAGTATAATCGTAGAGAAGCCTTGAAAAGAGAAACCTTGTCTCGTAGAGCACTAAGCCGTCATTATAAATTCGCATCAAAAAATTGAGAAATGTAACTTCATGGAAAGAAGATTCTTTAGCATTAGCAAAAAATGGATCAGGTCGCCGAAATTTCTTCCTTTTTAACAAGAATAGCTTTTTCATAGGGATTCACTAGACGTGCATCACGCCATGCCATCATCAGAAAGATATCCATTTCATAGTCCTGCAAATGAATCGTGAAGTAGTTATCCTTCGATTTTTCTCGCACAATTTTATGCATTAACTTGGATAAAGGTAATGAATTTTCAAATTTGAAATTTAAAAGTTCCATCAAATTTTTTCGAGCAACATTTATTGACTTATTACGGTGATTCTTGTCATTTATTGACTTATTACGGTGATTCTTATTACGGTGATTTGACGGTGATTCTTCAGTTTAACTTGGATTAACCAATAAAACATTTCGTATATTCTGTAAGGAAAGGATACCATAGTAGAAGTTTGAAAATTACTCATCGACTCAATGTAAATTCCAAAACAAACAATAACCGCACTGTCTTGAAAAACGATAGGCGCCGAAAATAGATCATATTTGTTCTTTTAAAGAACTGGTAAAATGAATGAACCACCAAGTGTCCTGAAATTTATGAACGATTTGAAATCGATCGAAATGGATGGATTCACGAGAAGTTTTTATTTCTACATTTAAACTTTTTAAAAAATTTAATATTTTTCAAAGAAGTGTTTTTAAAGTCTATTTATTCCAATATGCTCAAAGTGTTTAACATCAAAAGTAATGAATAACCTGAACATTTTTGGAGCCTCATCTCTTCCATTGTTTGAACTTGGCTCTTTTTGCTAATGCAAATATTGACTTTGGTTGTATTTTTAATAAGAGTGACCTAATTATCTAAATATATTATACCACAAAAGTTAAACAGATTTCAGATCTGTTGAAAACATCGCTGTGAAATCTTGGAGAAATGTGACTATACCTATTCTCGGATATTGTTCTGCTAAATATCATATCAACTTCCTCGGTATCGTTTCGTAGCTTCTCAGCTAATTCCATTAAATTAACACCAGATAGTGATAAAGTTGTCATATTCACTCCTATCGGCCCTTCAATCTCCACTCCTGCAATTCTGCTAATAAGAATTATAGTCGAGAAAAGATAACTGCAAACTTCAAAGCGTAATTTCATTTATTTATTTCATTATATTCCACTAAAAACATGCACAATCTTCAAACTCGGTCGCATTAAATTCGTCAACAGTGCTTGGTACGAAATCAGCGCAAATGCCATTAAGCAATAAAACAATAAGTTGATGTCGTTCGAATACTTGTTTCGTTATATTTAGACGTAATGCTTGAAGTGCTTTCCAGTTATACATAATTAATCGAGCTCTGAATTGAGATCATTTGTAAGCGAATACAACACAATCTCTTAAAAAAGCAATGATAAAAGCAACAATTGCTTCCATTCTTTTGCATCAATAACTGTCTCCACAATTAATCGGTCATTTACCCCACCATATCCGGCCAACCGGTCATATGCTCTGTCTCATAATGTCAAGTCTGGTGTTATTAGCAATGGAGCTGTTCATTCCATCTCCTACTGTTATATTACCTCATCAATACCACACCATGCATCCTTTTTGGTCAACATCGGAAATATTTCTTTGTTTGCCTGAAGCTTCTAATACACATGTTTTCGACATTACCCAATGGCCACTATTTATCGAATTTCAGAAAAGAAATGATTGCAGTAATTCAAATCAAGAAATATTTACTGCTGTTGGCCAGGATCTGCTTTGATTACAACTGGCGCTTTTAAATCCTTGTCATCATCTGAATCTTTTTCTTATCGATCTCTCCAAACTCCTTTTGAGTACTGGTCCATAAATCCTAAAACAAACGTGAATGGTTATCTGGACGAGGAACACATTCCACTTTGAAATGTCCCAAGCACTTGATTTCTGTATTGAAGAATGTCAATAAATTAAATACGAATGTGAAGGGAATCGAATAATTTGCGTCTCTTCTATTTTAATTCAGAAAAATGGCAACCTTATCCAAATGTATTGAAACATCCTTCTTGTCAACAGACGCTAAATCCAGGAATTCGTCGCTTTCTTCATTATTACTCTCTTCAGATACTTATCTGAGATATCAAACAAGCCACGTTTACGATATTTCTTTTCTGTGCTGCAATGAACTTGTACTATATCGTCACTTTAGCAAATACATTTCGCTATTTATTCCCGAAAAACAACGAAACTCAAGTTTGGATCTTAAATTGTGCATTTTCATCAGTCTTACATAAATTATTACCTATCCGACTTCAATAACTTGGTCGGTGCAACTGTTTCAGATGTTACATTGCTCTTAGACTTTGTGGACAATCCTGAAAACGTCTAACTGATGTTACAGCAAATAATAATAATTTGCAAACTTTCTGTCTTTTTCTAAAGTTCCGTGTTTACAAAACTTTTACCTTCAAAAGGTTCCCACTTTATTTAATTAAAATTTCCTACTTTTGACAGCTAATTGTATATCGATTGAATTGTTGACCGGAGGACAGGTCTGAACCTTATCACAAATATCAAACATACCGTTTAAGGTGGTATTTTGTATAATTTCGTTCAAAAGTTGTCCAAATTGTTGCAATTTCTTCTTGCTGGGATGCAGTTCATCCTACAACGGATAGTACTAAATCACTTCTGCTATTAAGTTAGAATGACAACCAACGTCTTTGATCTATTGATTGATGAGAAGGTACTCTTGTCCCAATTTTTGTTACAATTTTTTATCTCTATGACAATAGGTGAAGTATACATGAAAACAGTTTCCATGACATTTATCTTTGATAAATATGTCATTAGAAACTTTGCAAAGTTCAACAAACATCTTAGAAAACTTGACCAAAGCAGTCGTTTATTAACAGTTCTCAATTATAAATACCAATTTTTAATAGTGGAGAACACCTTGAATGGATCGCAGATGAATGAATTTATATTTGTTATCCCCAGTTGTTGTGTATCTTCAACTGTTGAAAACCACAATTCCCGCAGATAATTTCTACAAATTTCTTCGAAGACAATTACAATTTCCTTGAAAAAATTTTCAAATCATGCACCTTCGATATCCAAATGATTCGAGAGTGCTTTACTGAATATGAAATGGCCGACAACTAAGCACTATTGTTAAGTTGATTGACAAGCGTATTTCTAACTACTGACTGTCGCGAATTTCGATTCGCGAGACTCCAACCATAGAAATATATAATCAAATAAATTTCCTATTGTAAATCATCTAACCAATTTACATTGTTTAAATAATCTCCCATATGTTTCTTTATTATCTTTGTCTTACGGAAATTCACATCTTTATTTAATGTACAAAGAATGTCCAATCTGT